GCTGGCTGGCTGGCTGGCTGGCTGGCTGGCTGGCTGCTCAATTGATTCGATTGCGGCCGCTCATCATCGCGAGTCGTCGAGCAGCACCTGCGGAACCACTCCCCCATCTCATCTCATCACACCATCACCTCCTCTCCCACTGCTCACCATACCAGCCACGCTCATCCAATCTCGATCGGGCACCGCAACAACACCAGCACTGCTCAACATGTCTCGCCCTCAAAACGTCGGAATCAAGGTGCGTGCCTGCTCAACGCTGTGCCCTCGCAATCTTTGACGTTGCCGGCTTGGGAACTTCCATGCCGAAGCGCACGCTGCTCACCTTCTCGATCCTTCTCCTCTGCTCCGCATTCATCACCAGGGCTTCGAAATCTACTTTCCCAAACGAGTGCGTTGGCTGTCTGGCTGCAGAGCGCCGCACATGGGCTGCGCAGGTACCAACAACTGACCACCTCAACCGCCCTCGCTTCCCTGCATGTCCCGCAGTGCATTTCTCAAGAGGAGTTGGAGCAGTTTGATGGCGTCTCGAAGGGCAAGTACACCATCGGCTTCGGCCAAAAGTCCATGGCCTCGTGCGATGACACGGAGGACATCAACTCCTTTGCTCTGTCTGGTGAGTAGGCCGTCTGCGTGGACGATGCTCTCAACTTCAGCCGGTCGGTCAAGCTTTCAGGCTCTTCGAACAAACATGGCCTTCTTGTCTTCCGGGCTATCTGACTGGCTGGCTACAAGTGTCCACGTCCACGCAATCCGCATCGACTCGGCTGCTGGTGGAGCTTCTGCTCACTCGACTCTTGCGCCTTGGACGCCTGCCCCCTCAGTTACGCAAGGGCTGCTCGAAAAGTACTCGATCGACCCAAAGAGCATCGGCCGTCTGGATGTGGGCACCGAGACAATCATAGACAAGTCCAAATCTGTCAAGACGATGCTCATGACGCTCTTTGCACAATCTGGCAACACCGACATTGAAGGTCTGGACAGCAAGAATGCCTGCTACGGAGGCACAGCTGCGCTCTTCAACGCCGTCAACTGGGTGGAGAGCAGTTCGTGGGACGGTAGAGACGCCATCGTCGTTGCTGCCGATATTGCAATCTATGCCCAAGGACCCGCTAGACCAGTGGGCGGTGCGGGAGCAGTTGCGCTGCTGATCGGACCGGATGCGCCTTTGGTCTTCGAACGTGAGTGCTGCTCTGTGCTGGGCGAAGGGATACTTCGAGAGCTGCGAAGCAGAAGAAGGACAGGAGGGTAGGGACGCACACGCGAAGTGGCGCGTCCATGGGTCGCTCGCCTGTTGTGGAAGTCGGCTCCTCTTTGGTCAAGGTCAATGCGCGCTGGGACAAGTCGTGCACGACTCGGACGCTTTCAGCGGCGTGCCGGTCTGTAGTTCATCGACGCGCTCACAGCAGCTGACGCATTTCGCCATCTTATTCCTGCTCTCCTCGCAGCCGTCCATGGAACCCACATGGCCAACTCCTGGGACTTTGTAAGTAATGGTCTCGCACAACACGTTGCGCGCTCCAGCTTGACTCACTTGATTTCGATGGAATTCGGTATTCGCTCACGCAGTACAAGCCAGACTTGTCTTCGGAGTATCCCAAGGTGGACGGGCCGGAGACGCTGCAGACCTACCTCGGAGCACTGGACGCCGCGTACGATGCCTATCGACGTAAAGCAGCCAAATTCAACGCTGGCGTTGCTCTCGCGAAGGGAGAGTCTGCTGCACCAAATGGAAGCGCTGTTGACCCTCGTGCATCGGTCAAACTGGACAACTTCGATTTTGCCATCTTCCACTCTCCGTACTCCAAGCTCGTACAAAAGGGTTTTGGTCGTGTCGTGAGTAATCAAGAGCAGCCTGACCCAAATCTTTTCCAAACTAGACGAGCTCAGAACTTCCACCTTCTCTGCCGCGCATCAGCTCTACAACGACTTCTTGGCTGACCCCAAGAACCCAGCGTACGAGAGCGTTCCAGCGGAGTACGCGCAGCTCGATCGCAAGAGCACCATCACGAACAAGGACGTCGAGAAGTTTTTTGCAGGATTCGGCAAGGAGGCACAGTCAAAGAAGCTTGAACCCACAATGGACACGGTCAGGCGCGTCGGCAACATGTACACAGCCTCGCTGTATGGCGGTCTGGCCAGTCTTCTTAGCAACGCCTCGAGCTCTTCATTGCAGGACAAGAGAATCTTGCTCTACTCCTTCGGCTCAGGCTGCGCAGCAAGCGTATTCGCGATCAAAGTCAAGGGTGACACGAGCACTTTGGCCAAGAACCTCGACCTCCACGCCAGACTTGACAAGATGGAGAAGGTGCCTTGTCAAACGTACGTCGACGCCTTGCACCTCCGCGAAGGCACTCACAACGCTGTTCACTACACCCCCAAAGGCGACATCAACAACCTTTGGCCTGGCACATACTTCCTTGAAAATGTTGACGGCGAGTACCGGCGCACGTACGGCCGCACCCCCAAGGCATAGGGGCGTCGCAACTCTTAGCAGACGACGGTGCTTCGGGAAAATTGCTCTACGCGTGAATGCATATAGAACGCCATAAGGACGTGAGCAGTCTGGTCTAAGTGAGAATACATACATAGCATGTGCCCAGCACACAGCCAGGTCTAAGTTGCACGTCTCGATGCGATGAAGCAGCAGAGCACAAGAAGCGGGGAGCGAGGTGAGGGATGACTCAGGGTTCAAACGTTCACAAGGGACTGCAAACAAAGCAGACCTTAAACATTGCGCGACTGGAGTCTTCGGGCACAAACATCAGTCTCGCGCGTGATGAATTCGAAATGCTTGCATTGCGCGTTGGTACTTTTGCGGAGAGAGGATTCGGCTCGTGTCAGTGCGAGAGACTTCAGGTACAGATGGATGTTTGCCAGGTATATTTCCTCAGCAAATGTCTCCGGGTCCTCAAAAGGAGGCATACACGGGCCCGCAGAAGGAGGCATACACGGCCAAGGTCGGGGAGGCGCAGCAGTAGGCCTGGAGCGCGAGGTCTCTCAGTCCACGCCACCTCAGCGCTCTGGCTCTGCAGCTGCTGCGCAACGGACTGTACACCAACACTTGGCCGTATCACGGAGCGCATCCGCGTGAAGCGCGCGAGATGTTCCTGTAGCGAACAAAGCACGTCTTCCCGACACGACCAGACATGCTAGTCACCAGTGGAGTGTGCGCTGGACTGCGGCTCCGGACTTACTGCGCATCGGATGGCCAAGCGCTCGTTCAAAGAATGCCCTGCCGCCCGTGCACTCGTGATTGACTGCTCATTCATTGATGGTGTCCGAGTCGAGTGTGTACAACTGCAGGTGAGCTTCCATGACGAGCTCTCGTCTACCATTTGAGCTCTATGTGTTTTAGTGTGTGGTTCTATGTTCTTATGTTCTTGTGCATGCTTCTTTTGGTCTTGCTGTGGCTTTGGTGTCTACTTCCTTAGACTAGACTCCTCCTTCAGGTGCAAATGGGGCCCTCTCGGTACAGGTCTCCAATTTGCCCCAATACCTTCTCCTTATCTGTTCCAGCTCTCTCGCCACCCCAATTACCTTTTTCATCTCCCCCTCAAACAGCCTGAGGTCCTTGACGCCTGTGCATACCCACAGGTGTTTTGGCACATCCTCTTTGTTGCAGTGTGGGCAGCTCCGGTCAGCGTTCCAGAAGATCTTCGACATCTGTGCTCCGCTCGTGTAACTTCCAGTGGCAAATCGCCACCAGGCATACGCGTCCCTTTTCCTCCCTGCCTTCCAAAGCTCTGACCATCTTCCCTCTTCCTTGCAAGCTGCCTTTGTTCTCCGCGCTGTCGACGCTTTGAATTTGAAGACCTCTTGACCCCCTAGGTGGACTTGTTCCCACAGAGGCCTTGCCCGGACCTCCACGACATCCTCCTCGAAATGTATTGGCTCCAGCGCCTTCTGTAAGGCTGTTTTCTCTGCCTCGCTGGATGCCTTGAAGCCCTGCAGGAAGCTGCTTACTCTCTTGCGCTGCATGTTTGCCCTCATGCGCGGGACCTTGACTCTTTTCACGTATTTGTTCTGGTGCCACGGTAGCGCGCCAATGTCTTCCGCTGTAGGCTTCTTGATGGTGAGTCGATTCTTCTCCATGACGGTGAGTAAGCTGCGTGTTGTGGCTTCGCCCACGACCCGCTCTGCCTTGAGGCCTCCCTTCTTCCACCTGTAGACTTTGTTCGGATGGCCCAGGAGTCTGGTCAGGGCCTCGTCCAGCCTGGGCGCCCACAAGGCTCGCTGCTCTAGACTCCAGCGTTTCCAGACCGCTGCTGCCGGCAAGCACACCGCTTGCAGCCGCACGTCCACCAGGCCCAAGCCCCCCATGGGTCTTGGCGACATCAGGACATCTCTCTTGCAGTGTCGGAGTCCCGGGAATACCGTCCTTCTCACGATCCGGCATATCCCTTCGACAAAGGCCTTTGGTGGCGGGCCCAGTGCCATTGCGTGCCATGCTTTAGACAGCATGTGGACGTTCAGGTACATTATCTTGTTTGGGACACTGGCGTACCTCGAGACCCCTCTCGCTACGACCGCCATCCCCTCTTGTCGTTTTTCCTACCAGGCCAGGATTGCCCGTTGGCTTGCTCAGACATCGATGGGGAAGCCCAGGCATGTCCAGACTCCTCTCACGCAGGTGTTTGAGAATTCGTTGATCCAAGCTAGGCGCCACGATTGCGTTCCCAAGGGGATCATTTTGGTCTTGCCCTTGTTTAGTTGTGCGTTTGCCGCTCTTTCTTAACAAGACAGTATCTCAAAGAACTTGCAAACGGTGCCCCAACACAGCGATACCGTTGTGTCGTCCTCGTACGCCACCCAGCCAAGGGACCTGTGCACTGCTTGTTCCCTTGTTAGTGTTGAGAGGAAGGGTTGTAGCGATAGCACAAAGAGAATTGTACTCAGGCTATCGCCTTGTCATACGCCTGTCCGCATCTTTACTGCCGAGGATATTCTGTCTCCCACCAACTATCTTGACCGCGGTGGACGCTTGCCCCAGTCTCCATACAGGCTGAGGGTTCTCTTGAGTGTGGATGGCGGCACTCCCTGGTGCTTCAGGCAGGCCTCCATCCAGTCCCAGTCGACCCTCTTGTAGGCTTTAGCCCAGTCCAGTGCCGCTAATGCCACTCCTTCGATCGGCTCCTCTCTTGCGCGGTCGAGGAGTAGGCTGAGCTGCAGAGCAATGTCCAATCCGCGCCTTCCAGCCATGAAGCCTGCTTGTGCTTCTGGGACCAGCCTGACGTGCGCTTCCATCGTCGACTCCGGGAGATCGTCTGGGTGGCGCAGGATGTCCAAAAGGTGTCTTCTGATCCGCCTGCTGACCTCTGCTACTCCTCTCACTTCCGCAGGATGCCCATTGACCTCGCAAGCGAAAGCTCTGTCAATGGCCTCCAGGAGTTTGCCCTTCTCCTGGGGCGTGACGAAAGGCACCGTCACCCTCACCGTATCCATTGGCAGGAAGCTATGGCTCACCTTCTGGCTGGAACGGGCCGCCAGCAGGTCGGCAAAAGCTGTCGTGGCACCGCCCTGGTTGCCAGGCGCCCCTCCCGCTTCAATCAGCCGGAGGTAAGTGGTCTGGTCGAGGTGCTGATACCCCTTCTTGCTTGCGCCGCAAGAGGTTGCAGTCGTGCCTCCTACATGATGAAGAGACTGCCTCGTCCCTACTGATGCCACTGCGGCAAAACTCTTGCCAGGAGCTGTTCCGTTCTGCACGGTCGTTGCCGTCGCGGCCGTATGATCACGTTTCTCTGTTCTTTCTCCTGTCTGCGCAGATCCGCCCTCTCCTCAGGGTGTCTGCCCAGCCGTCGCTTGGTCCTCTGCGCCCTTGCGCCCCGACCTGGCCTCCGCCAAGGCTCGTCTTATCTTCTCTGGCGCCAGGATGCTGCGCATGAACCCTAGCACGTCGGGCGGCCGGGAGCTGCTCGTGACACTCCCGGCCTCCCTGCCTTGTGGCAGTCGCGTTGCCGGCGCTGCCCGCGCGGCCGCAGCACCATCCTTGCTAACCTGGCCCTCCTCCATTTTGTCCCCGCTATCCGTCGCCATTTGGCCCTGGCCCCTAATCCCGCGGTTGCCTTTGCAGTACTTACTTGTTTTGTCTCTCTCGTCCCCCCTTTTCCCATCTCCTCTGATAGATCCACCGCTGTCCGCGGCTGCCTCCTATCTTGTGCGCTCATCTCTCTCCCCTTGGCCGGGCGCCTGGGGTACGGGTTTGCGGCTTCCCTCCCCGTCTTGCCCTCCGAGGGTGAAGCGGCCAGCCCGCTGCCAGTTCTCGTAACTAGGCTTGAGCCCTTGGTCCCCTTTCCCGCTACCCCTTCTGGCGTGCCAGCTGTCTCCCTCGTTCCCTGGTTTGCCGCCCCCATGTCCGGTCCGCCCTGCGACACAGCCGGTCGCTTCTCCGTGCCTGCTTCAAAGATTTTCCCAACGGCCTCATCTTGCGTGAAGCCTGGTGTGTGGTTGCGTGGCTCCACAGCGCGGGCTGCGGTCTTGCCAGGGCTGTTGCCCCCGCCTTCCTCGCGGCTGTCGTCCATCGTTGGCCCTTCGGGGTCGCTCCGGCTCGATGGTGCCGACAGAGTGGTTGGGAGGGCTGCTCAGCTACTCTGCCCGCCCCTCCCAAGAGGTTAGTGATGTCTGTGATCTGTGCTGTGTACGTGAGTCTCCCTGTGTCGGAAAGCGATGCCGGGTGGAACGGCCCCTAGTGCAGATCTTGGTGGTAGCGCTGTGCCGACGATGTCTGGCGCTCCACGAGCTCTTCTCTTGCATTTTAAGCAGAGAGAAAGTTTCACCGCATAATGCTTTGCAGTTTGTGTCAGCTCCGCGTCGTTCGCAGTGGCGTTTGCAGAGAGCTCTGACGAAGATCGTACCGACGGAAGTGACTCAATGTAGAATGAGTGACTCAGTGTAGAATAAGACTTGGCTGCCTATGACATTTTGTGTTTTGATCCTCGCCCCGCCTACGGTTGCCGCTTATCGAGCAGCCTGACAGTCGGTGGACAACTCCAATGACCTCAGGTATGGATGTTTGTCAGGTATCCGACCCTCCTTCCCCGACCCTTGTGAGCACACGTGATTTGACCATGTGTACACAACCGCTGGGAAGCTTTGACCACGTGGCGCTCTGACGGCCCTTCAACCTCTAGTTGTGAATGCACGTCCCTCGACAACTCGGTGCAATGATGTCAGGTACAAATGCCCGTCGGATACCCGGCCGCCGTCCTCGTACCTTCTGAGGACACGTGACTCGGCCACACGCCCACGACCGTTGGGAAGCGCTGCGCCCGCTCATGTCCATCGACCTCTAATCGTGTATGCCATCGGTACAAATGCCCGTCGAAGGTCACAGTGCATTTACTGCCGGGCGGGGCAGATTCCTTCAACCCACGCTAACGCGCTTCATTTCGGCGTCTCGGCGCGAACCCCTATTATGAGGGGCCCGAGCGAAGCGACATGAATTGCGAGCGTCTATAAAGACTCGTCGAGATGGCAGCCGAATCCCTCTTCACGACCACCACACTGCGAGTCTCCAGCCGGCTACACTGTGCGCGCGACGGTTGCTTTTCTACCACCGCCCTCCAAATCGCATCAATGATTTCACACCACTCACTACCC